TTTATACTATTTATCCTAATATTACTAAAAGGATTCTCTTTTATAAAATCTTAGTTTTTATAAACCTTAATTTTATTATAAATTATAAAAATATAGTTTAAAAATATTTAAATTAAATAAATTTTATTAATATTAATATATTTAAGGCCTTTTAAAAGTACTTTTTTATAATTAAATAAATATTAATATAGAAGAGAAAGAGGGGTAAAGGAAGGAAAAAAGGGAAGGGGAATTATTATAAAGCTAGAAATTAAAGGGCTAGAAAGATATACTATTTAAATAATAGGATCTATTAAAATAAAAACTAGGTTAATAGGCTATTAATAATTAATAAACTTATAATTATATATATAATTAATATAATAATATATAAAAACTTTATATAAAAATTAACTATAATAAAATTAGTTATATAATTTAATTATAAATTATAACTATTAATATATTTTTAATATAAAAATACTTTAATATAATTAGTAATTTAAATTATAATTATAATAAAATTTCTTAAATTTAAAAAACTTATATATATTTACTTAATAAAATAAACTAACTATTAAAAAGTAAATAGTAAGTAAGTTTTAAATATATTTAATACCTATATTATTAAGTAGTATATTATTAAAATAGGCTTATTATACCTTAATATAGTAGCCTAAATAATATTTTAGGCTATTTAAAACTCTATAAATATATTAATAATATTTTATAATATATATATATAAAAGTAAGGTTTATATATATTATTAAAAGCTATAATAACTATATTTTAAATAATAATAATATATTAAAATGTATAAATAAGTAGGAAATAGTAAGTATATTTAACTCTTTATTTTAAAAGGTAAAAAGAATAATAAAAGTTTAAATAAAAGTTTTTAATATTTATAAAAGTTATAATATAATATAATATAATATAATATAGTATTAATTTTATAAATAAAATTTAAAATAATAAACTATAAATTATAATTTTATTTTAATTTAAAATAATTTATATTTATATTTAAAAGGTATATACTTTAATTAGCTTTATATCTTTTAAATATAAGCTTTAATTAATTACTTAAATAATATTTTAAAGCTATTAATACCTTAAAGCTATTAATACTTTAAAGTTATTAATACCTTAAAGTTACTAATACTTTAAAGCTATATCTATACCTTAAAGCTTACTTAAAGCCCTTTATATAATAGCTAGTGGACCTTATTAAAGTATATAGTACTTATATATATATAAACCTATACCTTATAAGGTATAGATAGTATATTATATATATATTTTATAAGGTATAAAGTAGGGTTTATAATAAACTTTTATAAACTTAATTATAGTTACTTAAAACCCTAAAATTTAATAATTTTATATTAAAACCTATTATATTATACTAATTATATTAAATATAATAAGTAGTAGCTCTAGTTAGATTAATATAAAAGTTATTTAATTTATAATAAAGTTTATAATAATTTTATTATAGCTACTTATTTTAATATATATATTTATTTAAACTTATTAAAATAAAACTTATTTTATAATATTATTATAATTATTAAATTATTTAATAAATAAAATAGTTATATTTATTAGTTAAAAGTATAAGAATAATAATTAAAAGATTAATAAGAATAAATTAATATAAAGTTATAATAAAATAAATTAATAAAAGTTTAAATTTATATTTTATAGGTAGTTTATATTTAATAATTTATAAATTATATAATAGGTTTATAATTAGCTTTAAATTTCTTTTAAAGGTAAATTTTATAGTTAAAGTTTAAATTAATAGTTTATATTAATAGGGTTGAAAAATATATATATTATTTACTATTATATAGGTACTTAAATTATTAGCTTATATTTTTAAGTATTTTTAGCTAGATTTTATAGTTATAATACTTATATTATTAAAGAAAAGAAATAGTTAATTATAATATTATTTAAGTATATTTAAATATCTAATATATAATAAGTTAGTACTTTTATTTAATAAAATATATTTATTTAAAACTTTATTTAATAATTTATATTATATTTATATATTAATATATATTATATTTATATTATATATAATATTTAGAGCTATAATTATATTTAAATTTAAGTTTAAGTTTAAGTTTATAATCTAGAATTTAAAATATCTTTATTTATTTATATATTAATAAATAGTAAGAGTATAAGCTTATATATATATTTAAAAGTAAAAGTTTAAATATTTAAATTAATAATTATAAGCTTAAAATTTATTAAAATTAAAATATTTATATAAGAAAATAGTATATTTATTTTAATTTATTAAATTAGTAAGTTAACCTAAAATATATAAATTAAATATCTCTAATAATATTTATAGCTTTTAATATATACTTTATTTAATAATATTATAATAGAAATAATAATTATATTATTTTAAAAATAAAAAAGGTAAGAGTTTAAGTTTAAATTAATTTTAAAGAAATTATTTTAAATCTTAAACTATTTATAATAAATTTTACTTAATACTTAAATTAATTATTAATTTTTAAAATTTTATAAAAATAAAAATAACTTTATAATAATATATAATAAAAGTTATAAATTATAAAAGCTATAAAATTAAGGATTATATAAAAATAAAAATAATTTTATAATAATATATAATAAGAACTATAAGGACTATAAGGATTATAAAGATTATAAAAATTATAAAAACTATAAGAAAAGAGTATAAAAATTAAATTTATTAGGTAATAAAATATAAAGAATTAAATTAATTTAGAAATAATTAATTTTATAATAAAATTTAGGTAACTTTTAAAGTAATTACTTTATTTAAAGTTAAAATATTTAGTTTATATATATTAATTTTATTTATATTTTATAAGTTATAAGTTTAATTAATACTTATAACTTATAAGGTATAAATAAATAGTAATAAGTTTAAATATTATTTTTAAAACTTATAAATTAAAATATTAAAAAAATATTAATTATATTTATATTTATATATTTTTAATTTTTATAATTATTATTTATTTATTAATTATTATTTAATTTTCTATTTATATTTTATTATTTATTTTATAAAGAATATATTTTTATAAAAGGATTACTTAAAGGTTAGTTTATAAGTTATTTTTAATTAGTTAGTTATTTTTAATTAGTAAGTTATTAATTTAATTAATAAGTTATTATCTTAACTATTTTTAGTTTTTACTTTTTAAAGGCTGGCCTATAAGTTGTTTTTAGCTATTTTTAGTTTATTTTTTAAATATTTTAATTTATTTTAGAAAATATCTTTTAACTATCTTTTAGTTTATTTAAATATTTTTAACTAATTATTTACTTTATAGGAATATACTTTTATTTTAATTAAATTATTTTATAAAAAAGAAATTTAAAAAAATAATTTAAATAAAAGATATATTAAAAGCTTTTATTTATAAAAAAGAGTATTTAATAGTTTTTTCTATATTTAATAGTTAAAATTATAATATTAATTATTATAATATTTTAAATTATATTATTATATTATATTATTAAGGTTTATTATTAAGGAATTTTATAATAGGTATATTAAATAATAAGTAATAATTTTTTTTTTAATAGTTAAATAATTAAGTTCTTTTCTTTTTTTTTTAATTTTTATTTAAATTATTAATATACTTTATAAGATATACTATAATTTTAATTAAGGACTCTTTCTATCTAAAATAATTCTTTATAAAGTTTAAAGCTACTCTATTTTATATTTTATCCCTAATTTACTTTATTTAAGGTTTAAATAACCTTAAAAGGCCCTCTAATAATAGTATTAATCCTTATAATTTATAAATTAAAAAGTTAGGTAAAATTTACTACTTTCTAGAGTTTGCGGAGGGCTGTAGTAGTAAATTTTAGTGAAGTGAACCCGACTTCTTGTATAGTTAAAGCGTTGTGGCTAACGGTAGTGCGGATTCCGTTAAATCAAGATGAGTCCACCCAGAGTGTCCCTATGCAGCCAGGTCATATGCGCATTCACACCTAGGTACCCCAGTCGGCGCTCATGTGTTGTTGACATGAACACGCGGGTCCATACCTAGGTGGGGAAATAGGTGGGTATCTCACCTAGGGAGTGCGTCACATATAAGAGACGGCGGCACACAGACTCCTGCGGGTGTCCTTTGTTTTTTGTGTCTCAGAAGCTGGCGGAGGGCCCAGGTGCTGGAAGAATCGGGGCGATGACTTGATCGGTAAGCCGATGCTGCAGCCCAGCGGATCTTGTCATGGTGGTTTCTGTGTGCCGGTGACGAGAGATTGTTCAACGGACGGGACATAAATCCAAAACTGGTCTGTCTTAGATCTCGAATGGCCTGACTGGAACCCAGCCTCGCTTGGTTTTTTTTTCTTCCTTCCTCTGGAAAATGGTCCTGCAGTGCTGGGTTTCGCATCAATGGGCCTCTGGGCCTTCGTCTGTAGTAGACATATAGAAAGACGGCCTTGTGCTCGCATCTGATAGCACCATCTTGCCCAAGATCATGCGGACGCATGCATTGGTTTAGGCCCACGTGTGGCAAGTGGGAAATAACAGCAAAGGTTTGGCAGACAACATTTAAACCTCATCGTCACCCATGGCAAGTCAGACAGCTCCAAAAGTCTGGGATGACCAGCTGCGTAAATCACAATGAATCCAAACAACCAATTGATAGCATACCTATGTACCTAGGTACTTAGCATTCAAATGAGATGGACTGGCCACTGTCTGGAGCTTCCAAATAACACAGATGCAGCTCGGAAGGCCGAGGGTTCAAACCCTGTCGGGCTCGAGCTCTGATCCCTGTCGGTCGCGCTAGATCCCTGACGACCACCCAGAAATCGCATCCCACTGCCGCGTCTCATCTCAGCTCGGCTACGGGCTCACTTCATCGCACAGCCCATGCCTATTGCTGATTCATCTTTGGTCAGACACCCATCGATATCGCTTGCAGTTCCTCATCACATCGCTCGCCGAGGCTGTCCTCAGACGCCTCCCACAGGACCCATGTCTGACGAATCCGAGGGCGGGGAGCACTATCCGTATTACAGTGGCTCCGGGGAAGACGACGACTCGCACGAGTCCGAGTCCGAGTCCGATGGCGCCCACCCCGGCTTCCTGGACCTCGAGGCCTCCGAGGCCAGCTCCGAGCCAGACCATGACGGCCAGAGCCTGTCAGACGGCGGCAGCTACGACGGCAGCCACGCCGGGGACAGCTTCCCCAGGTTCATGCAGCTGCCGCCCGAGATCCGCGAGATGGTCTGGGCCGCCTTCTGCCCAGACCTCGGGCCCGAGCCGCGCGTGCTTGAGCTCCACCTGCATTGCGTCGTCGCACCCCCGGGCGCCTTCCACCTCCCCATGGTGGTGCGCGCCATCGCCGCCGGCCCGCAGCTCGAGAGCCAGACCGAGCCCATGAGGGCCGTCCTGGCCGTCCACCAGGAGAGCCGCGCCCTGGCATTGAAGTCGGCGCCCCACGAGCTGCCGCTGGCGCACGGCGTGCTGGTCCGTTATCACGAGGAGCGTGACGTCTTGTTTATCTCGTGGAACGACGAGATTCGCCTGCGCGGCATCGCCCTGAGGTTCCAGGAGCTGGGCATCGAGGCGCGGAGTATCGCCTTTCCGTCCGTCGTGTGCCATCACAACCAGGATGAGCTAGTGGACCTGATGTATCTGCTCCCCCAGGCCAGGAGGCTATTTATCCTCGATGAGGAGGAAGACCTGCGGGACCCCGGCGGCGTCTCCCCCCTGCAGGTCCAAGATTATGCCTGGACTGCTACAAACAAGGTCTACAGGTACCGCCTTGACGCAGAAGAGGAGGGCGAGTATGGGTTACCCAACACCGTCAGCCGCATCTTCTGCTGGCCTGACCTCGACAGATTCCCCGAGTTCGCCGAAGAGAACGTCACAAAACGAGATGACAGCTGGTGGTGGACTTCTAGGATCACCGAGTTCCGTAACCGCCTCCGGGCCCCGCTCGAGGACTCGGGAGAACTGAATCAGGATGACATTTCTGATGAGGAGAAGGCAGAAGCTATCGAACGACTTCAAAACATCGAGGTCTGGCCAATGGTCCGGTTCAACTTCGGCGAGGGGCTGGAGCTGTTCTACTACATGGAGACTCACGGCCTGGACCGAGACCGGCTCCCGCCAGACTACCTCTCCGACTCGGAAGGCTCCGACGGAGAGATCGAGGATGAGTACGAAAGCTCAGGGATTGACGACGACCCCATCGATGACTCCACCTCTGACGAAGACGAAGACGAGCTGCTCGGCCAACACCTTGGTCGAGATTCTCCCCACATGCACGAATACTCCAGCCAGCTACTCGACAACGTCTCCGAGATGGGGGACCTGGCTCCGGCCAATTTCTCGGGCGATGATGAGGGCGTCCGGGAGCAAGACCACATCACACTCACTTCCGACTCGGAGAGTGATTCGGGATCGCGGAGCCGCACGTTGCGACGGGAGCGCCTGGTCGTGGACTCGAGCCCTGATGAGAGTGCCACGGAGACGGAGGAGACCCCGCCTTCTGGGCGACGCCGCCATCTAGACCATCTGCTAGATGTCGAAGACTTGGACACCGAAAATGACAACGAGTCATCGGGTTCAGAGCCGGTGCGAGAGGCCAGCCGGCGCGCCCGGGCTCTGCCGATCAGCTCCGAGGACGAGCTTGAAGAAGGCAACGATGATGACGAGGATGACGTGCCTCAGCCCGCCCGCTCGGGTCGCAGGCGCGGCCGTGTGGTACCTGCTGACTCGGACGACGACGACGACGACGACGACGAGGTAGTGGTGCAACAGCCGTCCGGGAGCAGGAAGCGGCGAGGACGGGTCGTGCAGGTGGATTCTGATGACGAGGACGAGGACGAGGACGAGGACGAAGACGGCCAGAGCGACTCTCAGGGAGGCGGCGCCAAGACAAAAGCCCCCAAGTCCTCTGATGAGGAGCCAAGCAGTTCCGACGAGGAAGACGATGATCCGCCGCCGCCAAAAAGGATGTCCCTCGCGAAGCGACTGAGCATGGAGGGCAGGCAAGCCCAATCGCGACACCCGCGCCGCCTCGACGACTCTGAGGCTGAGGAGATGACTGGTGACGGCTACGGCTACAGCGACGACCAAGAAGACGAGGTGGACGGCTCCGATAACAGCATGGTCATGGGCATGGCTGAGGAGTCCGAGGGCGAGGACGGCGAGAGCGAGGAGGATTACTAATTTTGCAAGGCACTATAGGCGATGATTCACGATTTTTGGTGCATGCTACAGGACGGTCGTGCCGTCTCTGCTTCGAATTTCATTCGAGGTTTCATGATAAATTCAAAAGATCACCATCTGTCGGGAGCAAGCAGACAAGCTGGGTTCACGATTGATAGCAGGTTGGGTAATGGGGCCACCAACGCTGGGCTTATTCGCGCGAGGTGCTTATTGATTCGTCAAGTTGTCTAGGTATCTGCGTTGCCAGGTCAAGAACCGATCCTACGTGCATCCAAATCCGTTGACTCGAGTGAATCCCCCCACTTCCCAAGGCACCCGTACCAAGACATCATTCACTTGCCCAAAGGAGCAAATCCCGCTCGAGATACCGCCGGTGGGTTTCGGCCGCAGCTTACAGCTGGTGCTGCTGGGAGTTGTGGACGCCGTGCTGGTTGCTGGCGTTGGTCAGGCCGGAGCAGTTGCTGCAGTTGGAGCAGCCGACCATGTTCTGTCCGTCAAGACGCAGAGGTCAGCAACCAAATCGACATTAAAGTTTTCAAGAGGCGGCAGGAACGTGCTGCCCTGCAGTGCTATGTCGAGGTCTGCGGATGGAGCATGTACTGATTGACGGGATGGAGGGGGGGGGGGGGTAAAAGGAGGTGAGCTCACAGAGCAGTCGGTGCAGTTGCTGCTGTCATTGCAATGCTGTCGCCAAAGTCAGTGACGTGCTGTCAATCGCGGCGGCTTTGGGAACACTCACGTTGCTCTTGTTCATGTTGCTGCAGTTGACGAGTCCGTTGCATCCGTTGCCTGGTGAGAGGAAGTCAGTCGGTGGGATTCTCATGAGCGTGAGCTCCCGAGGCTTGATTCGTGCAAGTGCAAGGGGACGGTGCCTACAGTTGCTACTATCCTTGCAGTTATAGCAGTTGACCATGTTGCTGCAGTTGGTGTTGCCGTTTCCGTCGCTGGACATGGTGATGCGGTGATGGCCTGTGGCACTGAGTAGACGTGTGTGTGTCTGGGTGTAGGTCGGAGGTGGTGGTGATGGTTTTTGGTTGACTCGGTGGTGGAAGAGGGAAGTTGTCGATCGATGTGTAGCGTTGTTGACCTTGGTCGCTTTTGTATCCCCCCACATTCACCATGCCAACGCCAGTTACTTGGGCGGTGGTGTTTTGCCCCGTCTGACGCATTCACCTTGCCTCGCGGACGATGCGTTGATGACGACATGCCACACCACCACATCCACAAGGGCGAGAGCCCGCTGGCAGCACAACAAGCGGGATTGGTGGATAACAAATTGGACCGTCTTCTGGCAGGATTCCGGCCAGCCATCTCAACTAGTTCATCGGCGAATGAAGCTGCGCACACTTCTGACTTGGTCTTATCTGGACACTGCAGTAGGTGGTGTAACGTGAACTCTGGACATCATAGCAACAGTGAGTGGTCGACTTTGCGCTGGAGTTGTCACTCTCAATCATAATCCTTCCTCCCATTATGTGCGACAGGGCCAATGAGCGGGTTAAAATCATTGAGGGATTACTTCTCATTTATATCTAAGAGTCTGGCCGACCGTAATGAGCCATGTGCATCATGCCAGCTCTCAATTTCAAAAAAGACCTAGCTACGAAGCTTCGGAGCATTTGTTCCCTGATTACTGTTGTTTGTACATCACTCCCAGAGTGCCCTTAGTCCTGCCTCCTCGAGTAAATCGGGACCAGGAAATCCGTTTCGCTCTTCTCTCAAATGTCTTGAACTCTTCGCGGACAAAGCAACGGGCGTTTCAACGATGGGGAGTAAATTAGGCACTGCCATAAATATCAGGGCAGCATTCAGACAGCCGGGGACGTGGGTTTCTGTCGGACTCAAACATTGATGAAGAAGCGGCTTTCTGGCGGGATGCAGGCGGACTTGTGGTTCTTGAAATGAGCACTCTGGCACTCCTGAGCAAACGCAAAAGGTCAGCTAAGGCACCATCAAAGCACAATGAAAATCAGGGGTCCAACTACCCACCCTGTCACAGTACCAGACTCTCTTGCATTTGGAGCACCGGGACAATGCCGCTCCGCCATTATCCACCGCAATCTTGCCACAGCTGTAGCAGCTACTGATGGTCAGCACCGTGGCCATTGCTCGGGGAAAGAACTGGTTACTTGCCTTGGCTCTTGGAAGCTTCGAGGCACTCCGGGCTTGTAGCGCTCAAGCGCGGTGAGGAACTGGACCTTTCCAGGGTGCCTGAAGCCCGTGTCTGTGTCATCACGACCGGCTGCTAGCAACCTCAAGGCCGAAGGTTTGCCAGAGATGCCTCGCAGCGCAGGAGTAAGGCCGTCGCGGCAAGCGACATCGCCCACAAGCTCACGGAGATGGTTCAGGTCGTCGTCCTTGATCACGGCCCCAGCCCGCAGCATGATGGCGCCGAGGATGATGACTTGGTACTTGCCGTTGGGCTCGCTCTCCTTCTTGCGGAGGGTCCTGAAGAGCTCGTCACCGACTCCGCTGTCGAGGGTGGTGCGACAATCGGAAACAGTGGCCTCGAGCTGCTTCTTGTACTCATCCGTCTCGTAGAAAGCCCTCGCCTCTTCGGGAGCGAGCATGTCTGTCTGGTGAACCATCGCGGATAGGTTCAGGTCCTTGTGGCCACTGTCACACAAGGCGCTGTTGATCTTCACGGCGATGTCCAGGTCTCGATCGCCCTCGAACATTCGCATTCCCCAGCGACCCATCTTGGCTGAGGCTGTGTACAGCTGGGAGAGCTTTGAAACCGGGTAAGGCTGGCACGTACGAGATCGCGCGGAGGAGGGTTGAGTGATTCTTGGTAGGCACTGGGTTGCTTTCGTTTGGACGACCAGGGGTAGAGAGACGCTGGTTTTCCGCTCCAAGTTCGTCTTGACAGTTGCACCGGGGAGATGCTCAGCTGGGGAAACGACCTGGACAAGGAATTGACTCCGTTTCCCAGGCAGAAATCAAGCAGTCGTGCTTCTGAGAGCACAGTTGCAAGGAGGTAAGGCTGCCCCAGCTCAGTCAGGGTGGCATGTACCCAGGTACCTGGGGCCGCCTGCCTCCTTCCTTCACTCCTTCCCCCCAGAGCAGACTTCTCTCCTTATCAACCGACAAAACAGCCAGCCTTTCGCCCTGGGACCAATTGCAGTTGGCTCAGAGGTAACGCGAGGTATAGCTAAAAAAGCACCTCTGCAAAATCCATGGATCAGGTTCGCAACCTGCAGGCCGGATGTTCGAACCACGGGGACGCCTGGGTTCAGAACGCCGAGTGACAGACAGTACGCACCCCAGAGAGGAGTGCGGAAGTCTTTTGCCATTTCTACCCTTCATTTCTTTTTTATTTTTACGGCAGTTTGTCTGCAATCGGATTCTTTGATGTTCTGATCCCATACTAAAGCTCTTGTCCCTGTACGTTGACAAATCTGACCTTTTCAACGTCACCATTGACAATGCTCTTGCTGGTCACCAGTCCATCCGCATCCCACTCGAAATCTACCACGACCCCTCCCCTGACACGGAGACCCTCCACGCTGCCTCCTCCCCAGGCGCTTGGGATCGCCGGGCCCAAGACCACCGTCCTCGTCTCCTCCTCCCTCCCGGCCGACAGGGGCAGGTCCACCACCAACATGCTCAAGACATTCCCTGCCCAGCCAAAGTTCATGTCGATCTGGAACGGCGGGTTCTGGCCACTGTACATGCTCAACAGGTTGGGCGCAACATTGTTCAGGAGGGTCAGCTGCAACTCCTCGTGGGCCCTGGACGAGTCGTTCAGCCGCGCCCAGCACGCCCCGCGCCAGACCTTGGGCCACCCGTAGTTGCCGCCGTTCCCGTCCGCACTGGTGCCGTCTCCCCTCTCGACCAAGCTTGCCCGGACGGCCTCCTGCAGTGTCGCGTTGCTGTAGCCGCCGGAGAAGCCAGAGATCGTGTTCCCGGGATACCAGCCGACCAGGTGGGAGATGTGGCGATGCTGGGGGTAGACGTTGAACAGGTACGAGTCTGGCACCTTCCACTCCTTGAGCACGCCGGCGCCGTACGTTGCGTCAGGGTCGATGTGGATGCCGGTGTCGAGCGAGGCGAGCGCGCTGGACACGGAGGACAGGAAGCCGGTGTCTGATTCGGATGCCAGCGGTGCGGTGCTTAGCACGGCCTCAAAGAGCTGGTGGATCAGCTGCTGGTAGTGGGTGCACCCGAATGTGGTTGGGCCCTGCTCGGCACTGTTGCACGGGTTGACCACAAGTGTGTTGTCATTGAAGAAGCGATCCTCCTGGAGCTGTGACAGCCAGAAGGATGCAACGCCCTTGAGGAGAGGGTATCCGGTCCCTGCGAGCCAGGCGACATCGCGGTCATAGTCCCAGTGGTCGAAGACATGCAACGCCATCCACGCTGCTGAGGCGGGATCTAGGTTGAGAGATCAGTGCAAGCTCGTGAGTTATGACATTTCCATCCGGTCTGAGACTTACAATTTGCCCACTGTGCATCGTTCTTCATTCCGGTGTATCCAAAGATGTTCATCTCGTTGTGTACCACCCATCCGGAGCCGTTGTACAGAAGCTGGGCAGTCTCGCTTCCTCTTGGGGCCCAGTTCTGGGCCATGTACTCAAAGACCGGCCTCGTCAGTGAAGTCAGCCCGGTTGCATCAGCCCCCCAGTAGTTCATCTGGAGGTTGATGTTGGCGTGATAGTCTGCGTTCCAGGCCGGATTCGTCTCCTCGGTCCAGCGGCCTTGCAAGTTTGCCGGGAGTGATCCCTCTCGGGACGACGACACGAGAAGGTGTCGTGAATAGTCGAACATGAGCGACTCCAGGAAGGGGTCAGCAGTGCCCTTTGTATAGCGCGTCACCAGCTCAGACGTCTCGACGGCCGAGGAACCAGCAGTATCGGGGATGGTCAACTTGAAGAGACCCATCAACGACGAATAATCTCGGACATGATCAGACAATAAATCCTCATACGCCCGGGATGCAGCAAGAGCTGTTGTTGCGTCCACTACTGGCCCGGGATCTTCGCCCCTGAACGAGAAGCTCTCTTCCGCATTGCCTTTGGTCTGGTCAAAATCCGACTCGGCAGACAACACAATTGTCACGGCTCTCTGGCCAGCCGCTGGGGTGACCGTGAGTGACCCTGTCTCTGAGCATGACGAGCTGGCATTGCCCGCCACTCTCACGATTGACTCAAATTGCAACCCTATTGATTCCTGGGTGATTCCTCTCAGGCGTGTGTACCCAGCGCCGCAGGTGACGTTGATCAGGCCGGCACTCATCAATTCATTGCCGAGAGATATCGTGACGGCAGGGAGACTGGAACTTGCGGAAAGACCGTAGACACAACTCTTGGCTGGATATGAGCAGAAAACAGTGGTCTCGAACGTCGTTTCACCCGTGGTCCATGAGGTTTTGTGCACTCCAGTGTCGAGATCGAGCTCCCGGGTATAATTGGTATAGTCGTCCACCCCGGCAAGGCTGACAGTCAGGTTACCCAGGGTCTGGTAGGACCCGTAGTTGGTGATGGGTGCCAGGAGCTCAGAGATATTGCCTGTGCCATTCTGAAATATCCAGTCGCGTATCCCGGGCAGATACTGGTGAACGGGGCCCGGGGGGTTGCCTCCGGTGTAAGTCTAGGATAAATGGGTCAGAAACCGCCACGCTCTGAGGCTGTGCTGGTGTTTAAGTGGGCGCACCGAGTTCTCGAATGGCCCGCCGGACCACAACGAGTCCAGATTCAGAATGAGGCATTCTGTACCAGGAGGCCCGAAGGGTATGGCTGCACACGCACCACGTCAGTGAGTTGTATAACAAAACACCAGGTTCGTGAACCGGATCGTCAGGACGGACCTCCAAGTTTCCCGTTGCCAAGGAGGTAACCCGTCTTCAGGATGTAATCATCTCCCTCGCCGTACGTCGCGGGTGAGGTCGACCACAGTGATTTCGCAGCTGGCATTGAGGGGCCCAACGCCAGTGCAAGCAAGCCCAGGCTCCATGCGCGAATCATCGTGTTGTACCTCGACTTCGGCGTGGCCGCAGGATCCTCTGATAGAAGGGCCGATGGTCTGCGTCTCGCGCTCGCCGGGGTGCGAGTTCAGCTGTTGACGCTGTGTGACCATGATACATGCCCTGCGGAGGTGACGAGGCCATGGAAAGTCTACATATACTCATTGACAACACAAATATATCCGGCGGCATCTTGGCGACGTCTTCTTGCCGCGTGATGGCCCAGGTATAATGCTACGCTGCTGTGATTCTATCCTCGATTCAGCTAGGAGCCAGGGCGGGTTGCCCTGCGCTCCGAGAGGGGGACAGCATTTCTCCCCTCGTCTCGGCCCGGAGCCCCCGCCACGTTGCAGCAGCTGCATAGATGGAGAAATGTTCCTGGGCTCCTCGCGTCAAAATATGCGAATTACCCCGACGGGTCTTGGGATCCTGAATATAATAATCACCCGACGTCGAAAGCTCACAATAGTTCGAAAGTCTGCGAGCAAGTCCAAGTGCAGCAAACCATCGACGGTGTACTTGGGGCACAACATTCAAACTCAGCTGCAGATGCATGCAACACTGAGCGTTACAAGCTCGCTACACAACAACACAATCTCGCCGCCCGAAAAGGGTTGTAAATTACCAAAACGGCATGATTTGGGGACATGCATCAAATAACTGGGATGTGGCGTGCAGACAAGATTGCCATGATCTCTTGGTGATGGACAAATCATTTCTCAGTGGAACCAGCCGGTGCTCGGCTATCGGCCTGGATTCGATCCCGCATGATTATTAAAAGCAGATTTCAATTAGCACTGCTCCTTCAACATCCCGTGTATCCGTATCCGTATATGCGCGAATAGTGCGGTCGCAGAGGCGCAGTCGCAGCAGCGTGCATCACGTAGATGTCTAATCATGTTGCCAGATCAGTGCATGTATTGAGGCGGAAATAAGCTTACGGGAGCTTGCATCGCACAAGCCGAGCTAGTTACAGACGACAAAGCTGAAATACCCATCCAGGCTGATGGGCAAATTTGATGATGAATGCTTACACCCGCGTGGTGTTTTTGAGCAACAAGGCACTGCCAGTTCTGAGCAGGCATGCCACTCCAGCTGTCACTGGCAAGGTTGTTGAATCCTATCCCGAGATCACTCCACACCACCAAGTCGTAAACTCGTGTCTGAAAAGTATAAGAAAGCATCTCATTTCCCGTGAACTTTCTCGGGAGTGACTGAGCCCAAGCATAAACACAACTACTCGGTCACACAGAATCTCAGACAAGACGTTGGCAGCCATTCTTGCCACCTACACACACAATATTTAATTCCTACACCTATTACAAACCAAGAAACAGAATGCGCTTCTTCAGCACAGCCTTCAGCCTGGCGGTGGCGGCCACCGTCTCCAACGCCATGCCCGTCGACTCGAGCAGCCCGGAGGTTCAAGCAGCAACAACAGCCGTCGACTGGTATCAGGGAAGCCTGACATTCTCCGGCACGTCCGCGGTGATCGACTCGAGCGGGTCCTGTGGCACCAAGGTCAGCAGTGGAACGATGACGGCTGGTGCGTGCAAGAAGCTCTCGACATATGGCTTCGGTCTGCACCACAACCCAGACCAGGCCTGCAACTACAGGCTGTGGACAGGCAACACAGACTGCTCCGGAACCGGCTTCACGGATATCCCAATCCCAGCGGGGTCCGATGTAACCTGCATCAACGATGGCGTCCTGGACGGTGGGAAATGGTACCTGGCTTCTGGTATTTACTCGTGCGAGTAAGCGGGACAGGCCCATGGGGATAATGTGGATAACAGAATTGGTAATCTGGGCTGGCGATAGACATAGACATGAGTGACGACGTTTCAAGAGAGCGTGCTTTACAAAATAATACTGATTCTCACCAATGACCACTTACACCTGGGCATTCTGAGTCTGAGGTCTAGTCAGTAATTGCTTGATTTAATGCCTGTGACCCCACAAAGTCGCGATCTTCAACGGTCTTTAATCCAAGACCACAAGATGCAAGCTCAGTCAGGGCCGATGAAGCACACATGTGATGGAGTTCAGCCACGGTTTCGCAATGGAATAACTAGGTACTCAACCTTTAACAGCTTTTACATGTGCCCTCTAACCAAAGCTTCCACCAGGTGCAAATATTTAATATTCCATCCCACACTCATGTTGGAACAGGAACGAATTGCTCGGAGACGGCATCAACGGAGAAACTGAGCAGGCTTTCGGGCCGAGTTATGAACATGCTGCCCTCTGATGATGTGATCAATTGAATTGGAGAGGATTCATCGATCTCAGTGCCTCTCGCTCTGAGAAACTCGCGCCATTTTCAAAATCATGACGGCTCGCGGGGAAGCGAGTTCAAATCTGGTCCAGATGTCACTGTTCTTTCTGTTATAGTGTAGCTAAACAATCCAAATGTGCTCTACTTTAGGTGTCTATCTAAACTGATTCGGCCGAGAACTGACAAACTGGCTTGTCGTCAACGCATTCCTATACTCCTGAGAAGGATGGGCAAGTAAATCCCCATTCCCACAAGCCATGCTGCCCAGGATACAATTGCCCTGGTTTTCCTGCCCCAACCAGCGGCCATTGCGAAGCTCATGGCGAGGATGGCGAGGATGTTGCCGAGGAAGTACATACATGTCCCCAGGGCAAAGATAAACATGAATAGCCACAGCTTGTTGGTCTTGACCCATCGCCAAGAGCTCTTCCGGCAGCTGATGCCCTGGTCCAGGGTGAGTGCGAGTACTTCGACCCTGCCGCCCTTCAGGTGCTCATCGGCGCTCTTCTCCAGCTCCTTGTTGGTCATGAAATCAGCCTGCTGTTCGAAATCCTTGAGGTCTGCTCTTATTGCGTCTGCAAGGTACAGCGCAGCCTTCAGGTCCTTTGGTGCTTCGTATCTGCCTCTGTTCGAGAGCTCGTGGTGTGCGTGGAGCCACATGAGCCAGACTCCAAATGTCCAGAGGGTCAGCAGGATCAACGTCGTTTCGAGCTGGATCACAGAGAAGCCCCATTGGTAGGTCTGCTGGTGGTTTGCCATGACGGGCTGGCAGACTGCATTTTCCTGTACGTAGCCCAAAGAGTACGAGTTGTTATTCCTCGGGAGGTAGAAGAATGTTGTGTTCAACCCTTTGCCGTCTGAATATGTAATATTGAGTGTTGGGCTCTTCACGGGAATGTCGTTGCCAGGATATCTTTGTCCCCACAGAGAATCTGTGTCTTTCAGGATGCCATATAAGGAAATGTCTGAAGAAGTGAGTTAGCATACCCAGCCACTGACGCCTTGCCTGGAAGCTGACCCACATGCGTCGATGCAGTTGCTAGCACCGCATGTCTGGTGCTGGTTTGGTTGCGAGCCCTTGAAGACCATGTACTCGTCGGTGAGGTTGACTCTGCCCCCGTCGTGGATGATGGCGACGATCTGGTTGAAGTTTTCAAAGGGGGTCTGGGTCCCGTTGCCAAATTTGATGACCGCTTCGTTGTTGGCCGTGTAGCCAGTCATCGCACTGGCAAGAGTCGGGAAGGCCATGACAAAAACCATTGTGAGGATCATGAAAACCATTGCCACTTTTGACCTCAGGCCCCTCTTTGTGGTGAAGTCCCGGACCAGGCGGAAAATGGACTGGACAGAAGCATGGTTCTGCATGAAAATGGTCCAGTACGTGCGGTATGTGACCGGGGTGGTCTCCATGGACGCTCTGACGTAGACAGAGAACGCCCGCCATGAGAAGTATGCCAACAGGCTCTGCCCTATACGCCCGACCCCCTATCATGATGTTTTAGTGCGAGGCCGGAGAGCAGCCATGGAGACACTGGCTGAGTATTGTAGCGACTCACGATATCCCACACTATGTCCACCACCTTTGCCTGCGTGAAACTCAACGAGCCAAAGGCCAGCACGATCTGGAATGCCCAGTCCGGGTTCCAAAAGCTTGATGGCTCGAGGCTGAAGGAGCCGTCCGGGGCACAGTAGTTCCAGTAGTCGGAGCTTTCCAGAGATATCGTATATGTGATGACCAGCGGGAAGATGAGGCAAAGCACTACCAGTCCCAGCGCCCATATTGAGAAGCCCAGCCATTTGAAGAATGAGACCGCAGTGTGTCGCCATCTTGTGGATTTGAAATCATGTCGAACCTCGTCACGAGTCTGCGCCCACAGCTTTCCCAGATAAGAAGATGAATTCTCTGGGCCGAGTGTGTGATGGGGCTGTGATGGTGTCCCTCCCACCAGCAACGGGTCTATATCAGCGGATTTGGCCATGTTGCCATTGGAATTCGTCGAGGACCTCTGCAGATAAACAGGTCAAGGTGGTGGCATTTCGCCCGGGGAAAAGGCAAAGACGGCCCAGGTGGACGTTGCAGCCGCCATGTTCAAGGCAGGAAAGCTTGACATTTTGTAGGTAGGGCCTGGGAGCTGAAAAACAGCATGAGGTGATGGGTGAGATGATGGGTGACATGGCGTCGCAGATCTTGAGTATGCATCCCCTGCCGCACAAATCCTTCGGGTCGGTTGCTGCAGGCAGACAGTTTGACAGGGCAGGCAATTGGAGGCAGCCACCCGCCGGGCGGGCGGTGCCACCAGGGGCCTTGCGAGCTGAAGAGATCCTTCGATGGCCACTGGGCCAACCATCTCCAGCGTACTGCAGAATGACTGGGTTCAGGGACCATGGGGTAGAGTGGCGCCTAGAGATAGGTGTGTGTCTCCCAATGTCTGCCCGTTGAAATCGATTGATGGAATGCAAGAGATGTGCTTGACGTCGGTGATGGATATGTCATGACGGAACCCCGATGGGAAGTCGTATCTCACCAAGTGCCCACTTTACACCAGTTCAGTCAGAAATGACCTCAGGTTTCGGAGCAGCAATATAGTTTGACCCCTGTCCTTTGATCCAGGATGATAGATTGTTGTCAAGGCCGCTAATCAGGCCCCTGCATCGCCCGTGCGGCTCCTGGGCACTGACACCCAACGAACTCAGCCTCCTGGTCTGTCTATCTACACAGTCGATATCTATGCGGGCCCGGATGGTCAGGTCCACCTCCAGTTCAGCGGTATTCAGTATTCCATATTCCACCACTGATATCCGAAATATGGGCCACTGCAGTCAGCTTTGGACGTAAGCTGAACACGACAGTGTCTGGTCTCCACTGCCAGCCAGTACCCTGTTGACCAGCCAGGGAAGCGGTGGGAGATGCAGTAACGACTGGGTGGAATTGCAACGGATGGCATTGAATCAGTGCACAATAACGGTAGGGCCTGCTGGTTGAGATGAGGGTATACAGCCTTGAGGCGTTGGAGGTGGATGTGGTTATGAATGTTGATGTTGATGTTAATGTTGATGTTGTTGATGGAGGGAAGTGATAAATGCAAGTGCACTAACAAACATCGAGATAATCGTCGGTGTGCAGGCTGGGCATCGCCCCGTTTGAGCCAACAAGGCCGGTAGTTGTGACAGACAGCCTTGGCCCTTCAGAGCTCAAACGGCCCGTGGTGGGAACCATGGCGGCGCTAAGTATAGCACGGCCCAGGCTTGGCTGACAGCATCCCAAGGTCCTGGCCTGGGTTAAAAGCAAGCCACGGGCACTGCCCCAGACCGAGTTTCGCCTGACCTGCTCTCCTACACATACGCTCTCCAGCGGCAGCTGAGCCACCTGAGCAGTGCCATATCAACCACCGAGAACCACCGTCATGAGGTTCTTCACCCTCAGCGCGGTGCTCATAGCATCGGCAGCGGGCTCTGCCCCCCCGCAAGGCCCCGAGCAGCAGCAGCAGCAGCAGCAGGTCGTGTTTGGCAAGCCGGAGAAGGGCGTCGGGCACTTCAGCGAGTGGAGCCGTGCAAACAAGAAGGAGTTCCTCATCGACTGGCAGGCGGGCAAGGAGTCCAACTGGGTCATCGTGCAGGGCAACGAGGGCGGCGACCTGGACAGCATGACGGCCGCCCTCACCTGGGCATACCACCTCGAGCACAAGACCATGAACGACTCGGAGCCCATCAAGGCCATCGCCCTGCTGCAGACCCCGAGCCACGCGCTGGACCTCCGCCCCGAGAACAAGATCGCCCTCGACAACTCGCAGATGACCAAGGGCCACCAGGACCTGCTGACCCTGGACGAGCTGCCCGAGGACCCCGAGACCCTCGGCCCCAAGCTGCAGGGCCTCGTCCTCGTCGACCACGCCGAGCCCCTGCGCAAGTGGAAGGGCGCCCGGATCCGGAGCATCTTCGACCACCACGTCGACAGGGGCGTCGCCCCGGACGCCAGCCCGCGCATATTCGAGAAGGTCGCCAGCTGCACCACCATCGTCGCGAGGCAGATGCTCGACGAGCTCGAGGCCCTGCCCGAGGAGTACCACATGCCCCACGAGCTGCTGGAGCTGATCCTGAGCGCCATCGCCATCGACTCGGGCGGCCTGACCAGCGACATCACCACCGACGCCGACGTGTCCGTCTCCGAGCGCATCCTCAGGCGTAGCAACTGGGCCCGCAGGGACCTGGACGACGTCATGGAGGACCTCGCCGACCAGCTCAGGGACGCCAAGAAGGACCTGGACCACCTCGAGCTCCGCGACCTGCTGCGCCGCGACTGGAAGGGCGACCTCATCGACACCCCGTCCCCGCGCACCCCCACCGTCAGTCTCGGCTTTGCCGTCATCCCCTACTCCATGGACAGCCAGATCCTCAAGACCGACTTTGAGGAGCTGTTTGACTGGTTCGCCGTCCACGCCGCCTGGACCGCCGAGGTCGGCGTCGACATCAGCGTCGTACTGAACAAGTACAAGGTCAAGAAGCACGGCAAGAAGAGGAAGATCAGGGAGGTCGTGCTTGTCGTCCGCGACGATGTTCGTATCAACCAGACGCAGGCCGACTCGCTCTTCCGCGTGGCCAAGAATGCCCTGGAGAGCGACAAGGGCCTTGGCCTGAAGCCGTGGCACAGGGCGGACGAGCTGGCCCCGAGGCAGATGGTGTGGACCCATGAGTCCGGGGCTGGGAGAAAGATCATCAGGCCGATCGTCGAGGATGCGGTCACGGGCTGGGATGAGATCTAGACTACTTGCTTGGATATGTGTGCTGGAGATGGCGATGGGGCGCGGTTGATGTTCAGATAGTGTACGGCATATACTGTTGATTTATTTAATCCAGAAGCCTTGTTGCAGTACCGCTGACACACAATGACCTGAGACACAGCCGACCATCAAAGACTACCTGATGGCTGACGTGGTGTTTCCGGAAGACCGCACGCATTCCGAGAGGGCCAGGTGAGCGTCTCGGTTTGTATGCCGATATCACCCAGGGAGCGGGCATGACACGCTACACACTTGCTCGACGAACCTCCCACAACATCATGGCCCAATCAGGCGAGTTGGGGGCGTTTATCTTGCAGCCTCTTAGTCCCCAGCCTCACCGTCACGTACCTAGTACGTTACCACTGTCACATCTTCAGAATTGACAACACTTCAGGGTCCTTGTAGCTAAACTTATGCCCAGGTATCTATGAACCAAGGGAATCACCTACAGGAGAGCATCCTTTAGGATGGTGTCCTGTAAGAGGTACCATGTAGGAGGTTGTCGTCTAGGAGGTTACCCTTGCGGGCCAGCAGGTCATCCTATAGAAGGGTATTCTAAAAGAGGGCAGGGCGTAGAAAGTTACACCCTGTAAGGACACCCTATAGGGGGCTGTCCTGTAAGAGGGTTCAAGGCTGTCACAGAGGAGGTTATCCTACATGAGGTTATCTTACGTCCGGCTATCCCTTGGGAAGTTATTTTATAATTTATTTGATACGAATAGAGCGCCTAAGGAGGGCATCCCATGAGAGGGAATTCTGTACGAGGGTATGCCATTGGTACCCCACAGGAGGGCTCCAGGGTGGGAATTCAGTGGCCACCTGCCAGATACCTGAGCGGAGCTCGTATCTATTTCCAGACGTCAAGACGGTTGGCCTCAGCACCAACGGACATCCCACCTCAGTGCTGAAATCGGTGGGGGCTTTAGCCACTCAAACCTGGCCAGACTGACTCTTCCAGTTGTTAGCATAGGTTGTTGATGTTGCTGAAGAAAACACATGCCCGGCATAGGAGTGGATATCAGAAAAATAAAAAGAACAATGTAGGTGAGTTTTAATGAATCATGTAAAATCATAAACAGCCTCAATAGTCATCATGCTAGATGGGGGAGGGAAATGTCCAGGACTGATCACCAACTTACTATTGAATTCTTGGCATGAGAAATGTCTTGGAAGTCAAGGGGTCCCTAGAGTCTATGCACTACTTTTTCGCTTGTTTTGTCAGTCATGAAAACAGTAAAAATGACAAAAATATGTAGGGTTCAGGATAGAGCAGGGGAGTCAGGAAAATATTGAACAATGTAGGTGAGTTTAGTGAATCATCTTGAATCATAAACAGCCTCAAAAATCATCATCAAAGAAAAGGGGAAGGAAGGAAGGAAGACACTTACTTCTCAGAGGGTCCTTACGGAAGCTGGCATGTGAAAAGACTGAATGCTGCTCATGTCAGATAGGTGAAAGACATAGTGATAGGGTCTTGAAGAAGGGGAACATGGTGTCAGACAGAAAAATTGAACAATGTAGTTAGGTTTCAGATAAACATGTTTGTGTAGAACAAATTCATAAACAGCCTCAAAAGTCATCATGTTGGGGCAGGGAAGGGATCTTGTGTGTTGGGGGTGGGGGACTTACCAAGCCAGGTCAGCAGAGGACAAAGTGTCAATGCTTGAAAAACCCTGATCTAGCAGGACTTGACGGTGCCTCATGGCAAGAGAACGGTATTGGCTTAATTGCAATTCCATTCGGCTGTCGTCAGTGCCCGCTCTATGCGGACTGTCAAGGGTTCTATTATGTACAAGTCGGAAGAGGCAAACATCATGTCTATGAAGCCTGTGCCGACACGGGGTTGATCTCGACTCCGTACTTCTCTCTCAGTCTCTCTCGACGCCGCTCCTGGTAGCCTGGTGGCTCAATACCTTTATGGTGTCAGCAATGCGTCCGGGTGGGAGGTGTCTCTGTCACTTACCTCGACCCTCTCCAACCTCTGCTAGTGTCTCCTCTAGAGGCCGCCTCCTGTTTGTGCGAAGGTGCTGTTTCCTCTCAAACTCGTCCATCCCCTCTATCTCCGGCTTCTTTCCCCTCAGGCTAGACCCTGTGTACTCGAAAGCTGCGAGAAGGACTGAGGTAAAGGCGCCGTAGCCAAGGACGGCGGGCATTCGGCCAGCTGCAGGCAAGCCACCACGTCAGTCTTCCGGGCCCCTGGGCATCTCCATTCGGGGCGTGGGCCTACCTCTAACACCGAGAAGAGAGCCGGCAAAGAAGCCTCCGATGCCTGCATTGTAGTGATCCTTCTTCTCCCGCAGGTTGGCAGCTGCGTTGCGGGCAAACTCGTAGGCGCCTCCGACAGCGGCTACATGGCAGAAGCGGTGTGTCAACAACAGGGCCAGGTGGCGCGGGCACAATTCAATCCCAAGGCCTGAGAGAGGGCTTACTGAAGGTGAAGATGATGCCACCGCTGCGGGTGAAGACGCCCAATGCACCATAGTTCTGTCTCCTGGTTGCATTCTTGATACCGGCTGCGAAGATACCGGCAGCACCGGTGATCATGGCGCCCTGGATGCCGGCCTTGAGAGCATCGACCGGGTGGTAGTGGTCATCGTCACCGTGGGGCGCCATTTCTCAGGGTGATTCGGGGCGGGATCGTGTTGGAGTCGTCCGGGGGTTGTCGGTGGGAAGAGGCTGCTCGAGTCTGGCTGGGGCTTTGGGAGCTTCTCCGTCTCGGTCGATGGCTCGAGGTGGAGCTCTGCTGCTTCTCTGAAGAATGCCCAATAGAGCGCTCCCAATTGGCAGGCCGTGATGAGTCAGCATCAGCGCACGTGATCCTGCCGTCATGGGTACCTTGGCACCTGTGGTCCGGGCGTGTGTCTGCGGCAGGAGGGTGGGTACCTGGCTACTCCGGGGCAGGCGGGGGAGCTTCATGTACCGGATGTCCCACTGGCTGGGCCGCAGCGGTACTGGAGAGGCAGAGAGGCAGAGAGGCCGGTGGCCAGGACCCCACCTGCCTGTCAGAAGCTCAGAGCCTCCCGAATACCCTTCCCAGACATTCCGTCATCCCTGTGTCGGTGCCATCTGATAGTGCTCGTTGGCACCAATCAAGCTGACGCAGCCTTGTCGCCTTGTGAGAGGGCCAGTCTTTGGGGGCAAGCGCCACCACCGTCTCCCATCACCGGCTCCCTCATACTCACCAACAGAGCCAGCCAGCTTGCCTCACAGCTTACCATCTTCATCACATACCACCGCTACGCTCCACCTCCCCAGCTGTTGCCTTCCCCTGCCACTCGTCCCAGGCTCCCATTCCGGGCACCCATCAAGTACAGAAGCCAGGATAGCTGGCCTGACACTGCGCTCAGTATCCTGTTCCCTTGCTGCGGCCACCCCCAGCATCAGCATCATCTAGGCTCATCACTCAAATAGAAACAAACACCTTGCAGTCAGTACATTACATTCTATCCACCTGGCCTACAACCCTGGCTGCCCATCCCACCCGCCTCCTCCCGGCCGTAGGCGTCGTTGCACCATGCCTTCAGGGACCAAGAGAAGGGGCATTTTGGATACTTTTTTCCGCTCACCTCAGCCCCGGAAGCGTCCACGCAAGACTGACGTTCAACACAGCCGCCACACCAGCTCCACTCCCCCCACGATGGGTGAATACAACTATGGTCAACACCAGACCCGGTCACAGGGCCCCCCTGCCTACTCAGATATCGATACAGCCACAGGTGCTGAGCCCAAGCAAAGGGAGTTGTGCAGGCCCGGTGCGTCTTGTTCCGTTCCCTCTGACCTTGACCCGCTTGGCTTGGCTGTCGGCCACTGACTATTTGGCACCAACAAAAGGCCGTCTCGCCTCCAAATGGATTGCCGATCTCGTCAACGGCTCCCTTGGTGATGCTGGCATACCATTATGTACACACTTCGGCTCGGCACATCCTTCCCGCCATGATCTCTACCGTGTTCTGAGCCAGTCCTGTGACTCTACTGCAGCGTGGAAGGCCGGGCAGCAGGAGCAAATACTAGCTGTCTGCATATGCCGAACATGCAAGAAAACATTCTCCATCGTCTCGAGATGCCCCACCGGTCGCCGGTGTGACAAGAACACCCAACGCATGCACCATCTGGTCTTTTGCGGCTCCTCGGACCCAACGTCATCCTACTCCAAGCACTATCCTGTCACCATAAAGGCTGACTTTATGTGTTCTGCGGTCGATTGCGACTTGACTGTCCATGTCGAAGTGTGCGGTCGCCGCCTGCCCGAGGCGTGGGAGCCCAGTCTGGTTGATCGGGAGTCGGTCAGGGCAAGGCTCGAGGAGCTGCTGGAGTCCGATGACCGTGATAGGTACGACGACTTCAGGGCTGCAGACAAGCTCGCCAAGCTTTTCCCGGCCCATTATTTGTGGCAGTACTTGAGCGACGTACTCAAATCAGGACCCGCGACCTCGGAGAAGAAAGTCTCCTATCGTAACAAGTTCTTCACGCTCTGCTTCTGGGATAGATTCAAGGACCTTTTTGACTATCTGGAGTTCGAGACCGTGGACGGAGATGGCGACCAGTCCCTGGTATTGCCACACCTCGACGACGCACCGTCGGGGTTGACTGACCCGACGAGCAGGAGAGGCTGGTTTGAGATCGCACGGATACACCTCTACTTTCTCGTGGTGGACAACCTGGACCCCAAGCTGGTTGCGCCCATCGAGATGCCCGTCAACCCGCAAATAGACACCATAAAAATGCTCGAAGACGTTCTCGACGGCAAATACGCCAAATCGAAACAGTCTTTTGGCGACTACAGCCCGGCTGATTTTGATTTACTCGGTGTCAACAATGATATCCACGAAAACATGCTTTGGTACGCTTGTGCCTGTCAGGGCCAGACCGACCCTGTCAGAAGGGAACTCTACTTTGAGGCGCTTCGCCGTGTCAGCCAGAACAGGGAGAGCGTCAGCCCCGAGCTGAGGAAGTGGCTGGAAGGCGAGGAGCTTGCGCTGGTGATAGTGAGATCGGCCAGGGAAGCCCTGGCAGATCCGCTGCAAAAGGCTTATAGGGCACTCGATTCGGAACAAGATTACACCCCCGACGCCATTCTCCAACAGTTTGACCGGAAGCTGAAGTCGGCCTCCCCGTCTGAGCGAAAGACCCATCGGAATAACCTGTTGCTCATCGGCAAGAACAGGAAGGACCCTGAGATTGTGCGCCAGGCCTGTCGTTTTGAGCCGGACGAGGCCATGGCGTTCCTGGGGATTCCGGAACAGGCCGATGAGGATGTGATCCCTAGTTACGTACAGACCAACGTCAATGAGGTTTGTCATGCCCGCTGGCCTTTCCGTGTCACCCCTCTGCAGCAAACTAACGCGGGTGGGCTCAGGACAAAAGCATCGATCGCATACTAGCAGCAGGTGCCTTGAGATCATTGGCCAACAAGTATAACAACCACGCAGAGCTGGAAGAACTGGCTGCAGAGCTGAGAACGGAAGCAGGCGAGCCGTGGATGTTGGAAGATGACTCAATCGAGGTTGCGCCGGGGCCCTCTTCCCAGGCTGCCTCGAGAGGTTCACTGAACGCCTCGCTCCCGGTCGGCCTGATCAATATCCGCAACACCTGTTATCTCAACAGTCTTCTTCAGTATTTCAACACCGTCTTACCTGTACGCGACGTTGTGCTCAACTGGGAAGATTTTAAACTGGAGCCTACCAAAGAGAACATCGAAACCCGCCGCCTCGGAGGTAGCGGCTCAGCCCTGGACGAGGCCGAGGCTTTCCTCGCTGCGAAATTTGTGGAGGAGATGCGAGCCTTGTTCCTGAACCTTCAGAGTCCCTACAAGAGTGCTATCAGGCCCCAGCAACGCCTGGCACTGGCGGCACTAAAGACTGCGGATCAACTTGTAAAGGGAAAATCTGCCGATGCTTCCAAGGTGCCCATAGGGCCTCAGCCGAATCCCGGCGCGTCTGATGCGGATCTGCCTCCTCCGCCCCCTCTGCCCGCTAGGCCTTCACCCAAGCCGCCTTCCCAGGCGACTCAGCCCACTGTTACAATCAACCCGGTGCTGGAGCACGCCGACACCGCTAGCAACGTCAGCTCTTCAACCTTGGTCGACCTGAGAGATGAAGATGCCGACCAGACTTATGTCACCATATCTCAGAATCCAACTGCTGACAAAGAGATACCCCAGGTCGTGCCCGCCAAGCAGAGGGTTGCGCTCGAGGATGAAGACAAGGAGCAAGCAGTCGGTCAACAGGAGGTCGGGCGCGGCCGATCTATGGATCGGGAGCAGGATCTCTCAGGTGCGACTGGTGCTAAGAATGGTAGCGCGGATGAGAATGCGGCAGCGCCTGTGACAGAAGCCAACCTAGAGCGGGCGCTCACGGTGGAAGAGAAGATCACCGATGCTCTCAACGATGTCAGTGTTACTGGAACCGAACAACAGGACGTCGAAGAGGTCATGGGCAACATACTCGAGCACCTTCATGCCGCTATCAAGCCGACTGGCACAGACGAGCACACCGGAAAGCAGACGGACATCATAACGGAAACATTTTACTGGTCCAGCGTCAAGAAGATCCGCACCATTGACATGGACACGGGCAAGCCCAAGTCCGAGTTCAGGTCTGTGTCTGATCTCTCCAGGTGGATGACCGCGTTTCCGGCCAAGGAAGGGAAGATCGATCTCTACAAGGCACTTGACAGCAACTTTGATCAGGAATTCCAAGAGGATGGCCATGAGACGTACTCTTCTATCACGCGGGCGTCTCCAATCCTGCACGTCTACATTCAGAGGAGCCAAAACGTGGACGGCAAGCTCAGCAGGAACAACAATGTTGTCGAGATACCCGAGACGCTGTACCTGGATCGTTACTTGGACAGAGACGTTGATTCGGATGTGTTCAAGAAGAGGCAGCGCAGCTGGCAGCTGAAGCGTCGCCTCGAAGCACTGGAACGTCCATCGCAGCTTGAACGCATTGGGCCGAAGTCCGGGGATGCCAAGGACAACGTCAAAGAGGCAGGTTATGAGGTTGTCGATGCGAGTGACGCAGTGGTTGACAAGTTCGAGAGGGACATGATGACAGTCGAGGACGAGGACTACGTGTCTATCCTGACCCCCGAACTCGAGCAGATGTTCATCAGTCAGGGCAAGCTCCCCGGTCCCTCCCAATCACAGAAGGACGATGTCTCCATGGGCGGCACAACTGCGGGCTCATTGTTCGACCTCAGCTCGGATGCTCGCCGCCACCTTCATGAATTCAACGAGGACAGCAAGGAGCGCGACCGCAAAGAGCTATCTGCCTTGTTTGCCGACATGACAGATGTCGCTTACCGCCTTCATGCAGTCATCTGCCACGGCGGCGGCCTGGGCTCGGGTCACTACTGGGTCTGGATTTACGACTTCGACAAGAACATATGGCGCAGTTACAACGACGAGAGGGTTGAAGTCCATGTCAACAAGGACAAGGTCCTGGCCGACTTGAACAGTGGGGCCAGCCCTTACTATGTGGCCTACGTACGTGAGGACCAGGTCGACCGACTGGTCAGGATTCCGGCGCGACTCAATGCTCCGTCTGCCGAGCAGGCTGCCACCGCTGCCGACGAGATCATCCAGAACCTCGATGTCGACATGCAGGACGCGGCAGAGGTGCCACATGTAGAACATCACGAGTAGGACTCGTATAGAGACGCACATGATTATTCCGCTGCCTTAATCAGTGGTTGGATGTCAAATTTATGGCCCTCCAGCCACAACGCGCCCGGCATCACACATGGGCTTCCCTTGTCGAGCAATACGTGCTCAGCGTATGGGGCAACGCACGCACCCCATACGCTGAGCACCCCTGCCTTCAGGTCACCATCTCCTGCGTGGGGATGGGACGCCACACTACCAAATACAAATACAAACAATACACACACGATTGACTCGGCCCTGCTGGCTATCCAAGGCGGGTCACTTTCAGACACCTACTCTGCCGAGGATACTGCCTTGCCAGACCCGGACCCCTTCCTTGATCCACTCACCATTGACTTGATTACTGGACAAGCCGAGGCAGACACTACTATGCCAGACCTGGATCCGCGCCTTGGCGAAGTAGTCAATGACTTTGAAGCTGGACAAGCTGAGCCAGCCGAGGCAGACACCACCATGCCAGACCTGGATCCCTTCCTTGATGAAGTAATCAACAACTTCGAAGCTGGACAAGCTGGACAAGCTGAGCCAGATGAGCCAGATGAGCCAGATGAGCCAGATGAGCCAGATGAGGCAAAGCCCGAGACACGAGCGCTTGTCCGCCAGCCCTTAGCCAGCCCTGGGCCACCTTCTAGTGCGACTCTAGCAGTTGCCAGTGTTGTTGAGCAGTCTCAACCGAGCCACACAGATACTCGACCGCTTCCATCCCAACTTACCCCAACAGGCAGCCACCAAAATGCGAATATGAGCGGTCACTCCGTCGTGCCCAGTCTTGGAATGTTTAGTTCGACTACCCCACAGGCGGAGGCAATTATCAAAGACACTGGAGATCTTCATGATGGTCTTCCTCAAGTCACCGCTGAAGAAATGCAAAACTTTCGCCATCAGTATAGGCCAGTGCCAGCGCCGGTGTGGCAAGGAGATTCGCAGTTACGGGACGACATGGTGAGGCCTGACACGCTCCCGACTACGTCGGTAGTCCCGGAGGGACTCGCGCAAGCTCGCAAGCTCGCCAGACGTGCCATACAGGATTCAGACACCCGATCCGACAACCCCACCGACCCTGCTCAACTTCTCATGACAACTCAGCCAGACGATGAGGGAAACGTCCCCGAGGATCTACTCGGAGGATTCGTGGAATTCTTCAAACACAGAAGAGAGCAAGAAGCGCTCCGTTTCGTGCGACAAGCGGAAGCCATGGCAATTGAGGAGCCCCCGAATTCACGGCAGTCGCAGCATAGGCAGAGTGGCGCGGACACGCGAGAGAGGGTTGTCAGTCTGGATGATGTGTTCAATCCAGGCGACAATGATGCTCGGAATCATGCTATTGCCTTCGGCAACCTGCGCAGTGGAGACGTTGTGATTGACGATGATCCGGCAGCTTTCGGTATTTCAGAGATCCGGAACTTGAGGAATCAAGTATTGTTCCGGCAGCGGAGGTTCCCAGACGATGGCAAAAGCAATGCCCCGGCACCGGCAATTGACATTCACATTGACGATCATCTGGTGGGCGCTGCAGATGCCTCTGCCCCCGTGGAGAATTTCAGACGGTTGACGGAGTCGGTTGAAAGCGAGTCGGTTGAAAGCCCAAAGAGCAGTGCTAAGAGGTGAATCTGGTGTATAGACCGACCCGTATGTACTTATTGAGTAATTGACACTGCGACATGATGTCAAACCCAAAACCACCCTTTAGCTGCATCCCTGTCTAAATCCCGTCTATCAAGAGGCCTCCCCTCAGGAGGCTATTCCCTAAAGATCCATCCTGGGAGAGGTTTTCTACCAAGAGGTTCTCCTTTAGAAGGTTAAGAAGAGGTTACCTTTTAAGGGATTATTCTATCAGAGGTTCTCCCATAATATTCAGCCTCTACAAAGTGAAGTAGCAATCACTTACACATCAACATGTGGGTACTTTGGAGGCCTACCTAGGTAGCGATACGGTCAAGACTGATATACGAACGATATTCTGGGTCCAGAGGAATGCCTCGGCCTGCCATCGTTGGCCGATATATGTCAGCCATTGGAGGGCAGTCTCTGTTCGATAGTTCCGGAGCATTCCACATCATGGTCACTCCTGTCAAATGGTCAACAATTCAATGTAGGGCGGCATTGGCGTCATAGCAACCAGGCAGGTTGATGGACAACATGCGTACTGACAGAAAGTGGCCCAGATTTACAATGTGCTCTGGTCACAGTGCAAGGACGTGTAGGCACCCGATAGGGCCTGTCACGGTCGTCGCAAAAAGTATGACCACGAGGGAGGATTATGCAGGAGGTACGCCGCTGTTTTCGAGGCGTTCTTGATTCTATCTATATAACAGATGCTGCGGGGAAGAAAAGTATGTACATGAAATGATATTTGCACGCTTGGGTCATTGCCGAGCACAGCTTTGATCTATGCCGAGGCGAGGCAGGTGCTGGTTGGGAAGTTGCAGCTCTCCTTGCCGCCGGTGATGGCGACGTCGGTGAAGGTGAAGTCGCTGCAGGAGCCATCACCACAGAGGATGTAGTAGTTGTAGGCGTCAGACTCGACGGTGCCCGTGACGTTCTCAAAGGTGATGCCGGAGATCTTGACGCCGTTGGTGGGCTCACCAGTCGGGCCGCCGTTGAGGTAGTCCTGCTGGATGTCGAGGCCGTAGTCGGAGATGCCCGACATCTTGATGTTGCGGTAGGTGATGTTGGTCACGGAGCCCGTCTTGCCGCTGTTGGACTTGATGCGCACGCCGTTGTCGCTCTTGACGAGCTCCGAGTCCTCGAAGATCACATTGTCCACCGTGTTGTTGGACTTGCCGCCGATGGAGCCGATGGAGAGGCCGTGGCCGCCCGAGCACAAGAGGCGGGACACGATGATCTGCGTGCCTGAGGTCACGGCAACGCAGTCGTCCTGGTTGTACACCTGGATGTCGCTCAGCGTGACGTAGTCCGAGGAGCCAATGTCGAAGCCGTCCGAGTTGTGCGCTGCGGGCTTGGAGCCGGAGGCCGAGTTGGGCTCGTCTCCGGCCCTGTTGTCCAGCAGGATGTTCTGGGCGGTGAGGTGCTGGTTGCCCGTCATGTAGAAGCAGTGGGTGGGCCAGTTCTGGATGTTGAGGCCGGAGATGGTGGCGTAGTTTGTCTTCTTGACCACGAAGAAGTGGTCTGGCTTCTGGCCGCCTCCGTTGCTGCCCAGGCCGTCCCAGTACGCCTGCCCGTTGCCATCAATGACGTGGCCGGGGGCGCCGGTCAGGGTGATGTGGTCTCCTGACACAATGATAGGGTCGAAGTCATTGTCTGGGGTGGTCCCGAAGGTCGTCTTTCCGCTAAAGGTCACGACAGCACTCGGCTGGAGCTTCTGGAGGTCCAAGGTCGATGACGCGGGCATGGACAGGTTGTCCAGCAGGATGTTGGTGCACGAGGCGACCGCGGACGCAACGTCAGCAGCAGCGGTGACTGTGCATGTTGTTCCGCCGTTGCCCGTCACGGTTCCATTCGTCGCAGTCGGAGCGGGTGTCGTTGCGGCAGCGGCAACGGCTGAGACACCGGTAGGCCTGGAGGAGGCAGCGGCGGCTGAGCTGCTGCAAGAAGCAAGCACCGCTGGGAGAGCAGCAGCTGTCAGCAGGAGAGACCTCATGATTGCTGTTTGTGGGTGTATGTCGTCGCCGGTATCGAGCTCGGATATATACAGATGGACTTGCTCTGCAAGTCGAGAAACCAAGCGAAGGGGGAAATGTACAGGGAAAGAGACAAGCACACAAGACTCCCAGGACTTGTTTTCCAACTGCGGGAGAACACACGGAAATGATGTGTCAAGACTGGACACCAGCTTGGTACTTATATGGACTGTCAGCCGGTTGGTTCACATTCTAGGCATGCGTCTGGGTCTCGTCTCGATGCCCACCTGGTGCAGGAGACAGGGGCCGGAGATGGGAGTGAGGGCCACTTGGCCCACATCCCGTTTCTGGAATCGAGCATGACAGTTTGTTGGTGGTGGGCTGAGTAGATCGGACTGAGATAGATTGTGAAGGAGGCATGAACCCAGAAGGTCTCGGAAGATGCTCCGAGGACGTTGAACGCCGGACTGGGCAGCTCTGCTGGTTTATGCAGTATTACTGGAAGCAGGCACCCATCAGGCACTGGTGATCCCAGACATATACTGCCAACCGAATCGTGTAAACCTACAATGTCTGCAGCCCGGGACAAGCCTAGTACACTAAGGAGACAAAAAAAGAGACCGTCGAGCGAGGTGGGGCTTCAGTTCAAGCGTCGGCTACTGGTGGTGAGCAGTTGTCAATTTCCGCAGCTGGGTCCTTCCTGGTGGACGCCGCCCAGGGGTCCAGGAGTTGGCCCCACGAGGTCTCCCGCCTCGGCAAAGCTTCGCGGAAGCTTGACTTCTGGACCACCCTGGCGGGCTAGTAGCTCGCTTAAAATACACTAAAGCTCGCTTAAAAACCTTAACCTAATTAAACTAAATAGCAAAAATCTAGTATTTTTCTAATACAAACAAAAATATATATTATACCAATTTAATATTTTATATATAATATACTATTAAAATACCCTTAATAAACTATTAGGCTATTAAATATAAATATATAAGTAAAAAATATATAACTAGTATTATAATAATATTTACATTTTATTTTAAATATATTTTAACTATAATTATAATTTACTTTTATTATATTTTAATTATATTTTAACTATATTTTAAAGCGTTTAAAATATTTTTAAAATACTTTAAAATATTATTTACCTTATACTTACTTATTATACTAATTATATACTAGCTAATTAGCATTATTAAAGGCTAAAAATAGTAATATTTAAACCCTAACCCCCTATTATATAAAATTCTAAGTTTATAAATATATACTTTTATTTAACTTTTTTCCTTTTAAATATAGCCTAAAAGCAAATTAATAATAACTATAAATATATTTAATACTATTTTTAATATAAATATTTACTTTTATTTTTAATTATCTAAAAATAAAATAAAATAAATTAACTAATATATTATAACCTTATATTACTTAATATAAAGCCTTTACTAAAAGCCTTATAATTTTAACATTTTTATTTTAATAATTAATAAAAGTAGAATTAAAAGGTTTATTTAATTAAAAATACTTTTTATTATATTAAAGGATATAAAATATTATAAAAAGTGCTTATTAGGAAAGTTTAAAAGCATTTTAACTAATATATAATAAATTAAATTTAAAAACTATTTAGCTTTATACCCAATACTTTAAAGTAGTTTATAAAATATATAATAGTAGTAATAATAAAAATAGCCCTTTTTTATTAAAAAGACTTTATTTATAAATAAGTTTTAATAAAATTTATAAAAGCTAAATAAAGGCTAATTAAAAGTATTATAATAGTATTTATAAAAAGTATATTAAAGCTTATTAGATAATTATAATAAAACTATCTTTATTTTAAAAACTTTACTTTTACTTTTAATATTTTAACCTTTTAAAAGCTTTATAAAACCTTATTAAAAAATAATATTAAAATACTTATTACCCTTAATAAATATATTAATTTATAATAAAACTAATAATAAATTAAAAATTAATTAAAATATAATTAATAATATTTTTAACTTTTAATAATAAAAAATTATATTTTAAAAATAGTTAAAAAATAGTAAAATAATTAAAAAAATAACTAAAAAAAATATTTACCTTTTAATACAAATATTATTTTTTAAAAATAAAGGCCTATTTTATTAAAATAAAAATATTTAAAATATAATAAAAAATTAATATATAATAATATATTTTAAATAATACTTCTATAATATTATTAATACTACTATAATTTAAAAAACTTAAAAATTAATTACCTTAAAAGGTATTAATTAAATATAAACTTATTTTAATAATATATATTAATTTTTTAAAAATAACTAAAATATAATAATTAATATTTATTATTAAATAAAAGCTATAATAAAATCCTTTTATTTATAAGTTTTATTATATATTTAATAATATTTAAGTTATTATTAATACCTTAAATAATTATAAAAGCTAAATTAATAAAATAATATTTAAAAAACTACTATAATTTATACTTTAATTTAACTATTAATAAATAAATTATAGGAAACTTTATAAATATTAATAATAATTCCTTTAAAAATAATAAGTTTAAAGCTAAAAAGAATAAAAGGTTAAAATAATAAAAGGTATTTATAAAAATAAAGGTATTCTAAAAGTATTTTAAAAATACTTTAAGGTATTTAAGGTAAAATTATAGCTATATAAATAAAATAAGTATAATTTTTAAAAATTTAAATAAATTATATAATAAATATAATAAATACTTTAATTTTATTTTATTTTAATTTTATTATTATAAAAGTATAAAAAGTATAAGAATATTATAAAATATTATAAAATATTAAAATATTTTTAAAATATTATTTAATAAATAATATTATTTATTAAATAATTATTTTAAAATATTTATAAATTTTATTTATTAATTAATTTATTTATATTAAAATTTATTTATAAATTATTAATATTTTAAAAATAAAATTAATATTTTTAAAATATTATAAAAAATAATTATTAATATATTTAATTAAAATTTAATATATATAAATTTTAATAAAATAAATATTATAAAATATTATAAATAATAATATAAATAAAAATAAATTAATTATTAAATTATATATATATAATAAAATTTAATTTTAATTTATTTTATTATTTTATTTATTATTTTATTTAATATTTATTTTATATATATTTAAAATTTTATTTTATAATAAATAAATAAATAAAATATTATATTAAAATATTATATAATATATATATTAATAATATAATAAATATAATAAAATATTTATATTTTTATATAAATAAATAAATAAATATATAAATAATATTTTAATTTATATATTATTAATAATTATTATAAAAATTAATTAATATAATTAAATATTTTTATTTATTAAATAATTTATATATAAATTTTAAAATTAAAATATTATATATTTATATAAATTAAATTAATTAAATTAAATAATATTATTATTATAATTTAAAAATAATTATTTAAATTATTTAAATAAAATTTAATTATTAAATAAAATTATTTTATTATATAAATTTTATAATATATTTATAAATTTATTTTATATAATATATTTAAAAAATTAAATATTTATAATAATTTATTTTAATTAAATAATATTTTTATTATTAATAATTTAAATTATTTTATTAATATTTTAATTTAATTTTTATTTATTATTTATTATTTAATTTAATATTTATTTTATATATTTTAAATTTTATATATAAATTATTTATTAAATTAATAAAATTTTTAATATTATAATAAAATTATTTATAATTATTATAAATATATTATTAATATTTTATAAAATTATTTAAATTTAAAATATTTTTAATTATATAAAATAATTAATAAAATATAATAATTAAAAATAAAATTTAAAATATTTTATTAATTTAATAATAATTAAATATAAAATATTTTTTATTTTAATAATATTTTAATAAAATAATAAAATAATAAAATAATAATTTTAATAATAATATTTATTAATATTTTTATTTTAATTTATTTAATTAAATTATAAAAATAATTAATAAAATATTTTAATATTTTTATATAAATATAATTAATTATAATTAATAATAATTTAATAATAATTTAATTATTAATATAATATTATATATATATATATATATATATATATATAAATTAATAAATTAAATTAAATTATATAAAATTAAATTTTAAAATTAATAATAAATTTTTATTATAATTTATTAATTAAAATTATATAATTTAAATTATTTTATTAATTATTTTTATTTTTATATTAATTATAAATAATAATTTAATATTATTTTATTTAATAAATAATTTAATTAAAATTTATTTATAAATATAATTATTTTTATTAAATAAATATTTATTATTAATTAATAATTTTAATTAAAATTTAATTTAAAATAATAAATTAATAATTTAAAATTATAAATATTTATATTTTTTTAATTTTATTATTAAATTAAAATAATAATTAAAATTTTAAAAATAAAATATAATATATTTTTAAAAATTAATTTAATTAAATTTATTATATAAAACTTTTATAATAATTTTATAATTTATATTTATAATATTATTTATTATTAAAAATATTTTTTTATATTAATATATTAAATTATATTAATTTATTAAATTAATATTATTAATTTTAATATAAATTAATTTATTAAATTAAAATTATTATAAATTATAAATTAATTTTAATATTATTAAATATTATATATAAAATTATTATATAATTTAAATAAGTTAATTAAAATAAATAAAAATAAAATTATTATTTTTTAAAATTTTAAATTTATTTAAATAAATATTTATTTAATAAATTTAAAAATTATTAATTTTATTATATTATAAATAAATATTTATTAAATAAAATTATTTAAAATAATTATTTAATTAAATTAAAAATAATTTTAAATAAAATAATTATATTTTATTATTATATATAATATTTAAGTTTATAAATTTAATAATTTTATAAAAAATAATTATTAATAATTAAATTTATAATTATATAAAATAAATTTTTATTTTAAAAGTTATTAATATTTAAAATAATTAATATATTTTTAAAAATTAAAAATTATAAATTTAATTTAAAAAATTAAAATTTATAAAATTTTAAATTTAAATTTAAAAGCTTTTTTAAATTTAATTTTTTAAAAAATTAAAAGTTTAAAAAAATTTAAAAAAGTTTAAATAAAATTAAATAAAATTATAATAATATAATATAATTAAATAAAAATTAATTATAAAATTATAATTATAAATTTTTTAATTTTATATTTAAAAATAATTTAAAATTATATAATTAAAATTTTAAAAATAAATTTTAAAATATAATTTAATTAAAATTATTTTATTATTTTATTTTAATTTATTTAATTAAATTATTATTAAATAATATTTTATTTAATATATTTTTAATTTATAAAATTATAATAAATTTTATTTATTATAATTTATTTTAATATATTATATATATTTAAATATTTATAAATATTATTAAATTAATATTTATTTATTTAATAATTATATTTATTTATTTTAATTTATTTTAATTATTTATTTAATATAAAATTTATATATAAAGTTTATATAAATTATATATTTAATTAAAATTTTTAAATTTTTAATATTTTTAATATA